GTGGGACTCGTGTTTTGTCGACAGAATAACGATTGCGGCCAGATTGCCAGTCAGCAGGGTGCTTTCGCTTTTTTCCAAGACATTTATTCCAATTCGCTTGAAGGTGCTCCTGACTTCCTGACTATACTCGATGGAACACCGATTTAAGGCAGTAAGGAGTAACGTTTTCAAACGGTTGACGGAGTAGGACAGTATTGACCTTGAGACTTGATCAGAAAAAGCAAATTGCCTCAAAAATGCAAATAAAATAAAGAATCCGCAGTCGGTAGTGTAAAATAATCTTCCAAGGAGAACAGCAACGGCCGAATTTGATGGCCTCGCCATGTTCAGTTCCATTTATTGTGGAACGCAGACCATTGCTGACAATCAAAAGGCATCTCGGACTTTTCCAATACAACCGACTGCTTTCCGGAGTGAAAACTGCACCGCCTATTTTCCTCTGTTAAATGGCATTGCCAATACCGAAGTATACCTGGACGATGCCTTGATTATGGGCTCAGACTCGCAAGAATTGATGCAAACATTGGAGAGGGTAGTTTCACACCTGGAAGAAGCTGAATTCCAGTTATGGACTAAAAATATGACCTCCTATTAGTAAGCGTTAAATTTCTCAGGATTATCATCGACAAAGGTGACTGGGGCCTGGATCCTCCCAACATACAAGCTATCTAACAAATGAAGCCTTCGAAAGATGTTGCAGAGCTCCGCTCGTTCCTATTATAGCTTTTCCTATCAAGTTTTATCAAATATGGTCCGCTAAGCCAGTTGCTGACGAAGAAGTTTTGCATTGTACAGAAGTGTCAAAAACCATTTGATGCAGTCGAAGCAGCCATCACTTCTACTCTACTCCTAATCCATTTCAATCCGTACTTGGAAACTGTCGTCGTTTTGGACGTTTTAAATATGGTATTGATGTTATTATTTCCCAGGTCTACCGAATGGAGGATGGAAGGCTGTCGCGCACACATCCCAGCAATTAAATTCGGCAGAAAAGAACTATAGCCAAAATGGAAAGGGAGCGCTCATAATCGGTTTCGCCATGAAATGGTAGACATTCCATTCTTCTGAATAACCATAAACCACTGCTCTGGATATTCGGATCAAGGAAAAGAATACCCGTTTTCACTGAAAGTCGTCTGAAAATGGGCGACCCTACTGCTGGCGTACTGTTTCAGTATACAGTATTGAAATACGTTGAGCGTGTTCGGCGCCGCTGAACCACTTCGGCGTCGCGTAGTTGGTGCAGGAAGAGCGAGTGGACCTCTCAGCAACGTGAATACACTCGCCAGGCTCCGATGGCTGGGCCACGGGATGCGCATGCGAGCACACCGATTCTCGCGATGTGCGTTGTTTGTGCGAACGGGGTATGGAAGAAAAAGGAATAGGAAAGGCCAAGCAATGAAGAGGGATGAGGACGCTCACTTCGAACTTAGCATCAGTCAGTGCCTCCGACTGCCAGGCTGGAGTCCCGATGACGATGACGTCGTTTGGTTGGATTCACTTGTTGACATGGCATCGGTGTTGTGAGTCTCCTTGTCACTCCCCCACCCGCTTATCTTCTCACTCTAACCCCGATCTCACAGCCGATGCATAGAGTTATACCAAACAGCATATTACTTTTTGGGTTTTTACAGCGTGTTCTGTAATGTTTTGTTTCCCCGCTTTTTCAGATTTCAGCACAAAAGTTGAAGAGTGCTCCCTACTTTCAGCTTATGCGCAATGATGCTCATGATGATGAAGGTGATGATGGTTGATGAGGATGATGATGATGACCACGAGGATGATGATGACCGAAATACGCAGCAGATCGGCCAAACGGATGCCATGTCTCATATCATTAGCTCCCATCCAAATGAACACGAGGACTGTGTGATTGTAACTATCAGATTCGAGTCAGAAGTAAAGGAATCCTGACCGACAAGGTAAAAAGTTTGCCAGCAACAGTTGACACCATTCGTATGAAAAGTTCCGTGAACAAAATCTTATATAATGTGATGCATTAGGTGCAAACACATTGGCCAAATGGTGGTATTCCTGCCGAGTTGCCGTGTTTCTTCAATCGACGTGGATCCCTGTTGGTTGTGGACAATTGTTTGATTGATGTTTGGAGACCTAATGGCGTTTGCAGAGGCAAATGTCACAGCAGTTTCCTGCCGTGCATCCCAGTACCAGCCTTAGAAAAGCATTGGTACGCAGCTTTAATTATTCGCACGAACTGGATTCGAAAGTCGAGAAAGTTTGCCAAGGATGTGAATCCTGTCAACTTGGGGCAAAGGCACTTTCAAAGTGCTAGTGGTAAATTTAGCCAAAACAAAGAAGCCATGACAACGAATCCACTTAGAATATGCAGGATCAACCAGCGGTCAATCCAATCGCATGTAGTGGACTCTCACCAAGTGGCCCGATGTGATGGGATACTGTGATGATGATGTGATGCACAATCCGACTGCCTAGCTTACAATTAAAAAGCTGGATAAATTGTTCCAGTATTTCGGCCTGCCAGAGATGATAGTGACAGATAATAGAACACATTTCATCTCAACTTCCGCGATCGCTGCAAAGAAAAAGGAATTTATTAGATGATCCCACCACCATATAACTCCACAACCAAACGGATAGGTGGAAAGTTTTGTGGATACTTTCAAACGTGCTCATTGCAAAGTGAGAAATAAGGTATCACGGGAGGTTATCCAATCATTCCTGTGTATGTATCGGAACAGCGAACTAAAACGACCTAGATGGAAAATCCCCCGCCAAAGTTTTGTTTGGACGAATGAAACGGACGATGTTTGGTAACCTTATCACAAGAAGGAAAGAAAAGCACGACAGCGTTTAAGCAGCAGAAAATCGGACGGAAAGATTCCGTAACTTCAAAATTTGTGATGTGGTTTCCGCGCGAAACTTTCAAAACTCGGGGAGGTGGTCGAGTGAAACTGTTATCGGCAAGAATGGCAAAGTGATCTACGATCCAAAGGTGGATCACCCAAATCAATTAGCTGAGACCAAGCTATGGTGAAACCCAAGGTTCACAAGAACTAGCAGTTTTGCAGTGAGACACTGCTAGACAAGTTGGGCTTGTAAGATGAAAGCGAGCGGCTACGTGGATCACATCGGAAGCTGATAGTGACGGAGGACGCACAATGCAGACCAACACAAAAGCAGAGGCGACCACAATGGCAACAAGCCGATCCCAAGGTAGAAAGCTATTAACAAGGTCAGGCTAGAAGGATATGCGGGCAGACTCAAATCGTAAAGGAAGGTGTTAAGTGGCCACAACGGATAAACGCCAAGACTTCGTTTAAAGACGGGAAGCGGGCCTGCGGCAGAATACTCGGGCAGCTGACAAAGTCAGATCGTTATTTATGGCACAGTTCGCTACGCGGCAGGCGTGAGTGGGGCCACGAATGGCCGGGTTGCAGGCAACCAAACACTGGAGGCTGCGAGTACTACTTGCGGACGTGAGCAAACAAGTGATTGTCAATCAGCCAAGCAACGTACAGTCGGATTGGAAGGCAAAAGCCAGGACAGGTGACCTACAAATATAACCATTCTCTATCCGCAATATACACCAGTCTGGTAAGTCTTGTTCTTTTATTTCACCCGCTGGCTTGGATAGAGCATCAGGCAGAGAGCAGAGCAATGTCAGCATTACAACAAGTTGACAGCAGAGATGCAATCAGTTGATGAATGGACAGACGCAAAGTATAGGAAACGCTTAATGTTGCTCGGAAGTTTCTTGCCCATCTGTCTATCGGTTGGAATGCATAGATGACTGACAACAATGTAATGAGGATTTACACAATTCAATTAATAGGTTCGTCTTGTGGATGTCCCTGCAACACATGGAGGACGCAGCTACTGTGGATCAGATTTTGAAGGATCAGCTATCCAAGTAACATCACAACAGTCAAGTATTCTGGTTTCTGAGACGTGGCATAGTTAGGTGCCTCGTTACAAATACATATAGGCTCTCCCCTTTAAGCACCTTGTCTCAAGGCCCGGACATGTGGTGTAACGAAGCATGACGAATGGAAGTAAGCAAATTCACAAGGAAAGAGAAGAGATATGTCTTACCGCCCGTCCATGTGCACTTAGATATTTCATTTCAGGGTGCTGCAAAGCTGCTGTTAGTAATGGAGTTCGGAAAAAGTCCAACCGAGTAGAAAGCGTTTTGGGGAACCACTCTGTTATGAACAACAGGTGAGTGTTCGAGAAGGCGCAAGTGTCGATACAAAACCACATACATTAGCATAATGATTAAATTTGGTGTGTATGCGTAGTCAGAATTTCTGCATCGAAAGCCGTTGGAAAAAAACGGAGGCACAATAATGAGCCAAGGTGTACCTGGTATCCGCTGATCTAACGCACTCTCAAAAGTGGGACCAAGCAGATTGAGATTGTCTGATCAGCCAAAGCTTATAAAGGCTCTAAATGTGCACGCAGAGCATCGTCTAGCGTGAATAGAGTGGCAATTAAGTTGCTGAAGTTACTATTAAGTAAAAAACCGATTTCCTACGCACCACATAGAAGTTGGGTAACGTAGAAACAGAAAACAGAAAACGACATTAAGGAAGCACATAAGTAAACACAGGATCTTGAGTTCAGAGGTGTTTGGAAACAATCAGTTGGTATAGTAGTTTGGTAAGGTTTCGCCCTTGAGACGAGAGCTTCGTCAGACCAGGTGAATCACTGTGCAATTGGAGTGGGATTTTATAGAGAACAGGGGCGATAACCGCGTTACCCGAGACTTGAGCCAAGGTGTCATTAAGATGGCGAAGTTACTACCAAGTGAAAAACAATTTCCTAAGCACCACAGAGAAGTTGGGTAACGTAGAAAGATAAAACAAAACGACATTAAGGAAGCACATAAGTAAACACAAGGTCAGTTAAGACGTCTGAATTTCAGAATCGCAATCGTGTACCAAAAGTCGATAGGAGCACCAAAAGCCAGAGGTTGACAAGCTGAAAGAAAAAGCTAATAAATTAGCCTATTGACATACTTGGCTCCAGTTGTCCGATAGACCTTCAGCCAGTTGTTGTGAGATTGCCAGGTAGTTAGACTCCGAAGAACCCGGATCGTTGTAACACACATGCCCGCGTATCATTGTAGCCAAAACATCGTACCCAGTCTCACGAACGAATCGGTTTGTATGCCTAACAGCTTTAAAAAGAATTTTCAAAATTTCTGAACGTTCGATCTTTACGAATTCTTCCGGTCTCAGGTTGCCGATCATTTCCTGCATGCATTTCATCCACGTTTCTAAATTCCGCCAACCAGCAGTGTCATGAAAAATGGAAAGAGAACTTCGGCTCATGTTCACATCCCTCTCCTACGAAGAAAGATGACAGTGCCAATTAGCTACCTTTAAATGAAGACACAAACACTAGGCAAGTGCCAACTCACCTTCGCCAACTCCAGGTCCCTCAAAGAATTCTCCGCCTCCGTAGTCAAGTCACGGTCAAGATTCTCAACTATTCCTTCGATGACGTGGGGGATGAAATGCTTAAACATTTGTACTCCATAAATTTGACACAAACAACCCATCAACTGCCCAGCCGCTATCCGTACGCGAAACTCTACATTCTCATGACATTCTAACACGCGATCCCGCAGTTCCTGCACCAGAGTTAGATTGTCTAAATCATTCCTTGACAATTTCTGCAGCAAAATAGTGGCCACTGTTAAACCACCGTATACCTGGAAAAGAGCATGGGAGAGTGTCGGGACAGTACCTCCTCCCAGTTTGCAGGGTTTTCAAGCTTAGCGGATATCCAAGGAAGTATGAGCACAAGATCGGCCTGATTGATGGATAGACAACGAAAGTGCTCCTCTCCCTTGTCGCGATCCAACTTCTTTGGAGCGCATATAAGATCTAGTGTTGAAAAGAGATCACCGATTTCGCCACACTGCAAAAAGGTTTCTGAAAAGGAAACGTATGAACTTACCGTCGTATGGAAATTTTCAGCCTGCATTTTAGAAAATGAGCACCATATCTCTGAAGGAAAGAAAGCCAAAATGAAAATTGTGAGGGCTACTAAATAATTAGTTGAGACCCATGTCTGGGCCATAAAGTTAAGACTGTTATTTGAATCAGGCTGAGATAAGAGGTCAAAGATGATGAAAAAAACTGAACATTGTACTAAATATGGAGAAAATTGCTGCAATCAAAGAAAGGGAAGTGGTGATGGGTCAAAAAAAATGTTACCGATTTCGTTAACCTACTGTGAACCCGCCCCCAAAGCTTTTTCAAACCAGTTATAGTACACAGCCGACGAAACTGGAGAATAAGTGTCAGGGAGGAAGTAGGTCTGCCAGGATAGCCCATCATGCCAGTTAAACCAAAAGGAAAGTCAAGGTGGATATATAATTTTTCAACAGTCTATGAGTAAACACGGAAACATCAAACACCAAGGAAATCAAAGGAAGGTATTGTTATGACGCTGTCGTTTGTCCTGCATTTGCCAAACTTGTACTGTTTTTAATACACAGCCTTATAGCTCGCGTACGCTGATTCTCAGACGAGTAAAGCCTTATGAATCGGGCCCTCCCTGTCTGAACCAACGCGCTCGTCGGCTACTCACTCATACCAATTTACTCAGCTGATGATCTATTATGGAACGTGTCCTTCGACCTGATCGCTGCGATATTGATCCAGACAGTCCCAATGCTGCCTCCCTATGGAAACATTGGATCTATACTTTCGAGAACGTTTTGTCCGCAATCGAAGCACTACAGCCAGAAAAAGGTAAAATTCTTGTTCATTACCTTTCTGCTGTCAAGTTTCAACTTACGATGCAGCCACATCAACTTTATCTTCCATTTGCGTACGCTCGAACAACGAGATACACGCATATTTCTTGTGTACCGCGAAACAAGATTTCGGGCAATCACTCGATCAGTTCCCGCAGAAGCTAAAAATACTTGCGAAGGACTATGAGTTTCAGGCCGTTACTGCCGAAGCTTATCGGGACGAGGCCATTCGCGATGCCTCCATCGGTGGGATGACGTCGTGAAATTTTACAGAGGTTGTTGGAATACAAATCACTTGATTGTGAGACCGCGGTTGACAAAGCCAGATCATTGAAACTGGCGCATACGCAGTCCGCGACTTATTCAAAGCCTGATCCACATTGGTGCAGTGAAGGCCCAAGAGCGCGTGTCACCTACTCCAACTTGTTTACAAAGCCAGTTCCCGATGAAACCATAACTGTTGCTGCCAACTCAACTTGCTACTTCTGCGGTTATAAGAGACATCCACGTTCAACATGTCCTGCCAAGGACGCGACATGCAAATATTGTGGGAAAGTCGGCCACTTTCAAAAGGTATGCCGATACTTCAACCAAGGTAAACTCACCGCATCTTCCGTAGACGATCCACTCCTATCTTTAACTATCGCTGCGGTACCACTTTGTCTTACTGATGCATCGATGAATATCACCGCCAAGGGGGTTGCCTTATCAGCACTCGTCGATACAGTAGATCTGAGAGCTACATCTCATCCACAGTAGCATACCAGCACCAATGAAAAATTCATCGCTCCTGCAATCAAATTGATAGGGCTTGGACGTCGCACACTACATCCATGAAGGGTCCCTGTTTGATTAACATTGTGCACAAGAATAACGTTTACCCGCAGTTCAAGCTGTCAGTGTTGCCCAACCTCTGCGCCGATGTTTTGCTCGACCATGACTTTCTAAGGCTCCATGCACGGCTCGAAATTTCATTTGGTGGCCAGAAACAACCTCGTTCTATCTGCGGGCTGGCAGCAGTGCGCATTGTACCGCCACTCCCATTCCAACATTTGGCCCCTGATATTCGTCCCATTGCCTCGAAGTAATGACGACACTCCGCGACTGAGGAGGAATTTACTCAAGCTGAAGTCCAACAACTGCTTAATGAGCAGATAATCGAGTCGCCAAAATCTTCATGGTGTGCCCAAGCGCTTGTGACAATTAAGAAGAGACATAAAAGGCGGATGGTTATCAATTACAGCCAGACGATCAACCGGTTTACCTATCTCGATGCGTTTCCATTACCTCGGATCGATGAACTAGTTGAGGTGTCCCACTATGATGTTTATAGCATTTTGGATCTGTGAAGTGGATGCCATCAAATACGTATAAACAGATGGAAAAAGTATACACTGCCTTTGAAGCTTGCAGAAATTTATATCAGTTTTGTCGCATTCCGTTCGGAGTTCTGAACGGCGTGGCGTGTTTGCAAAGAGCCATAATTAATCTTACTGAACGCGAACAGCTGTACGGTACCTTTGTGCATGTAGAGAACATCATCATTTTCGGAGAGAACCACGAAAAACATGACTGCAATCTCGAGCGGTTTCTATTGGCACAAAAGTCTGGGCTGACATTTAAGCATGACAAAAGTATCGTCAGAGTGCAGAAAATTACTGCCTTAGGATTCGAAGTATCCGAAGGCAAACTCAGGCCGGACCCTGACCAATTCAGATCAATGCGTGAACTTCCTCCACCGCATGATCTGAAGTCTCAACAACGAGTCGTCGGGATGCTGGCCTATTATTCCCAATGGATAAAAAATGCTTCTGATGGAATGCACTGTAGTGTTCAAAACACAACTCCGTTCACCGAAACTGCTAAGGAGGCTTTTGACAACTTAAAGCAGGGGCTGGAGAAAGCGGCGCTGTTCACGAATGATCCAAAAATTACTTATGAGTAGAAGGATGCTAGTGAGTATTTTTGTTCGTCGCAATCAGCCGACAATTCGGCTAAGTCAACTACCTATCCAGAAAAGCACCAGACGGCCGTTTCTCCCTATTGGGGCTCGTCAGTGGTGCGCATCCTTCGGTCCTCTACGGAGCATCGAACCCATGACTGCTAGTGGCTTGTGTTAACTAGCCCGCAGCATATGCAACTGCGCCATGGAGGACGGTAGCCGACCAGCACGAATTGTTAGCTGACTACGATATAGCCCGACCCATCCTCCACTGCCATGCAGAGGACAGCGGTTGGCCTTCCGGCGTCAGGACTTCCCGGTTACGGCAGCTATGAATCGACATAGCATTTGTGGAATACGTAAGGGCGAATTTGTATTACTTATGAGTAGAAGGATTCTGGTGAGTATTTTTGTTCGTCGCAATCAGCCGACAATTCAGCTAAGTCAACTACCTATCCGGAAAAGCACCAGACGGCCGTTTCGCCCTATTGGAGCTCGTAAGTGGTGCGCATCTTCCGGTCCTCTACGGAGGATCGAACCCATGACTGCTAGTGGCTTGTGCCAACTAAACCAAAAATTCCCAAAATTCCTTTGGTCGTGGAAACGGATGCCTTTGAGATTGCCATTGCAGCAACACTGAACCAAAGCGATAGACCGGTGGCATTTATCTCTAGATCCTTATCAGTGAGTGAGAGGAGCCATTTGGCAATCGAAAAAGAGGCCTATGCCATTGTTGAAGCTCTTAGAAAGTGGAAGCATTACCTCATCGGGAACCATTTCAAGCTCGTTACTGACCAGCTTTCTGTTGCGTTTATGTATGATAACAAGCACGACAAGATAATGAGATGATGTCTGGAATTGTCCTGTTTTCAGTTTGACATTATCTATCGTCCAAGGAAAAACAACTTCGCAACCGATGCGTTATCACGGACCATTTTTGCTGCTTCTATGAAGTCCACTGATTTATAAAAATTGCATGGCCAGTTGTGTAACACTGGAGTTAAGCGGTTGTACCAGTTCATGATTACAAAAATATTCCATTTTCCGTTGAAGACGTCAAGTCGGTCAACCCAAGGTGCAAGTCGTGCGCCGAATTAAAACCCCACTTTTACAAGCCACCGAATGGCAAACTAATTAAAGCCACAGCTCCATTCAAGAGGTTTAGAAAAGATTTTGAAAGTCCCGTTCTGTCCACGTCACCCAACTGATTCGTGTTAACAATAATTGAGTATTCTCGATTCCCATTCGCATTCCCTTGTCCAGCCATGTCCTCACATACAGTCATCCACCGTTTGGCTCACATGTTCTTTGTCGGCCGGTGGCCGAGTGGTTGGCACGTTTGCTTTCCAACCATATGGTCACCGGTTCGAATCCGCGTAGGGGTGGGCGTCCTCGCGGTATACTCAGCCCGCGCGCGACTGGTGGTGGTCGCGCGGCAGCGAAGCGCCGTTACGGCGTATAAGCTGACACATTTCATTTCATTTTTCATTTTTTCACATGTTCTTGCTGTTCGGAACTCCGTCGAAGGGCCTCCTTTGTGTCCGACGAATTGAAAAGATTCCTCCTTCAAAGTGAAGCTGGAACGGGACGGTAAGATGGAACTCGTGTAAGAGGGGGAATAAGATGGGTAGTCTTGAGCAGTAGCATCCAAACCCTATCCACCCTGCTCGATGCAGCAAATAGGGCACCGTTGACTACCGTATGCCGTGCTCAGAGCACCCAGAAATTGTTGGGCGAGTGATCCATAGTATTGCGTGGGTAGGATACCGTCAGGTTGCCCTGGTCTAGACAGGAGAACGATTAGGGTTCTTAACCAAGGTCTTTGGTTCAAAAAACCTGACTGCAAGGCAGCGGGTTCGGCGCTGGGCTACAAGGAGACCGTTTTAAGGAATAAGGAGCCATCCTTATTCCAACCCCCAACCTGGAGGACTAGGAGGCTAAGTTTTTTTGGCCTCGAACCACTGACCAATCTTGTGTGAGTGGCTCTGAAGGCGCAAAGGCACCATCCAGCATAGCTCAATGGATCTCTAAAGCACGCAAACAATGGCACCACGGTAAGGTCCAGCTTCATTGCGATGGAAGTGTGGATACTAGTCCCGATTTATTCGGAGCCTGGCCACACTAATTCGGCATTAATATGCACATCACACCATATGCATACTCACGCCAAACATACACATATCAGACGTACAAAAGGCGCATCTCGTGTTCAGCAACCATTAGAAGCATCCTGGAGCAAAAAATAGATAAGTAGGCACCCCGTTAACATTTGCGTCAAGCGCAGCTAGACCCGGGATGAAGCCAACTAGTAAACGCTATAAAACGTGGGGCACAAACTCAAAGACATGTGCACATTAAATACAGTACACATGCAACACCAGTCACATCAGCGCTTGCATTCTTGTAGGATATCGGAGGCAGCGTAGTTAATGCGCGTTCACACTTACCCATTCGAGTTGCCCGTCGTCTCGTAGGTATTGATGCTTCGTATTAATGCCAGAAAATCTCAGCTGACACAACCAGACGCATGTGTCAAAGAACTAAGCGCTCCGTCAGCACCTGACTCTTGCGTAACCTGCGTTTTCCGCCCAGCTACGCTAGTTCTCCATGAGTACTCAGGATGCAGCACTCCTGATGTCATTACACCATATCCGTTGGTCCACCAGGGTTGTTTCCGTCATCATCATCATCATCAACAGTAGTACATCAGCCATTTGAACTGATGCTTCGCTGCCATACGACCATGAGGACCTATGAAATAAAGAATAAGAAGAGGGAGAGAAGGGGGACTTACCTGAAAACCTTAATTCCCTAAGCAAACATTCAGGGTCAAGGCGCCTACACCTTGTGAAGACAACATACCGTCACAAACAGCTGGCTATCGTGCAAAGATAAGGCGGCATCGGCGAGACAGCTTCCTTGCGGCTTTCACTGTCACGCGTCATAATCAGCCATTACCCCGCAGATAACTCAGCACCAAACACACTTTAAACAGGCAATCCGATTAGGAGACGGCAGCAAACGCGCCACTTGTGTCTACTGCGAGCCATGTCCTGTAAAGTCGCGAGCCAAGCACAAGGCGAGTCACGTGGACTCCAACCCGGAAAGCGAGACGGACCAACGCCACCCAATTTCGTCGTCAGTGACTTCATTTCCCGCTGCCAAGTCAACTTCTGCCCACCTCGAGCTTTGCGCCATCTTACACCTGGCAGACTAAACAAGGCCCTCCTAGGTAAACGGTGATTAGGCATACGTAGCACGTGCCAGAGCCAACGCAACTTATTCAGTGCTATCTGTTGTCCTTTGGAGCTAGCATGATTAACATCACCTAGTACTCGCCTACATACCTCATCGTTGCGGACACGCTGGTGCCATCCGACACCAGCAATGCTTCGCAAACAACGATGATCAAAGACTTGAAGGTGCCTCAGATCTTCAGACCGAAGGGGCCAAGTCTCACTAACATAGAGCAGAACGGCCCTCACTGTGGCCTTGTATACCCGGCCTTTCAGACGGAGGGAAACTCCCTTCTGTCGCCAAAGATGTCGCAGGTCCAAGAAGGTAGCTCTGGCTTTTGCAATGCGTGAACTGACGTCAGTTTCTATGCGCCCATCATTGCTGATGCAGTTGCCAAGATAAGTGAAATGATCAACTACCTCGAGTTCCTCTTTAACAAGCGTCAAGGGGGCATCAAGTGGCTGGTGGTCCTGCAGCAACACTTTGCACTTTGAAGGTGCGAAGTCCATAGCAAATAATGGGACCACACTGGACAGGCTATTCAGGGTTGATTGTGCCGCCCCAACATCGTCGAAAAGCAAGACGATATCGTCCGCAAAATCTAGATCAACTAACCTTTCACCAGGCAGCACTTCAACACCTACATCATGAGATTCCGCAAGGGAACACTCCATGATAGAATCCACCACGAAATGGAACAAAAACGGGGAAATCGGACAACCCTGACGAACGCCACTTGTAGTCGAAAAGCTATCCGATAGGAAATCGTAGACCCTGACGCAAACTGTAGTGTTCGAGTATAGAACAAGAAGGATGTTCACATATTTCGTGGGAACCTTTCCGCGCAAGTAATTCGAACAGGAACGATCGAACGACCGAATCGAACGCACTCTTGAAATCGAGGAACACAGCTATTGTCGGTCTGCGGTATGCGTGGCGCTGCTTTAGCACCTACCGCAAAGTGAATATATGGTCTATACAGCCACGCCCTAGGTGGAAACCGGCCCGCTCTTCCCTAATCCGAGATTCCCGTTCTGCAGTGAGGCGACGAACGAGAATCGAAGTCAATAATTTTGTCGCAACTGGCGTTAGGCTAATACCCCTGTGGTTCGCACAGTCTGTGCGACTGCCCCTTTTGTATATTGCCACTATAATCGATTCGTTCCAAATAGCCGGCACACTCTTCCTTTCAGATACATTCGAATAAGGTCAGTGCTTTGCAGAGGACCTCACCTCCATCCTTAAATAGTGCAGGTGGGAGGGAATCCAGGCCAGCCGCACGAAAACGATTAAGGGCCGTGATCGCGTTTCGGACCTCGGCCTCCGACGGAGGCTCTAAACTAATCGTTCATGGCTCGTCCTGCATCACCTGAGTAGAAAGAGGTCCGGAAGCAGGGGGCCAGCTGAACTGATCTTCAAAGTGTTCCACCCAACGAGCCATACGGCGCTCCTTATTGTGTATCAATGCACCCGCGCTGTCTCTGATTGTCTCACTGACGCCTGGTTTTCTGGGACCAGTGGTGCGGATTAGCTGGAAGAGCTTGCGGTAATTGCCTACTGCTCCTGCCTCCTCCATTCCTTGAGCCCTACTTGTTCACCAGGCTTCCTTTTCAGCACGTAGGCTCTGCTTTATTTCACGCCTGATAGCCCGTCTGGTCACAATGTGTTCAGAGCCAGCCGGGAGGTGTCTTCTAGATTCCAACAGGTTCACCGACCTCTCGGATATCCAGTGACTGGTGCGATGAAGATGGATAGTGCCACAAGCAGATGCTCCTGCGTCGTGCATGGCGGCCGAGATCCTATTCCACTGAAGCTCAGTGTCATTAGGACAAGACAGCGACAGTTCGCTATGTAGTGCTTCTTGATAGGCTTGTCTGACCGAGGACTGAGACCATTTCTCCGTTGCCAATCGTAGGGGACATTTGGTGCGCTTCCCGGTTAAGTTCATGGAGAAACGACAGCGTACCAAGGCATGATCAAAGTCGACGCAAGTACTCCAGTACGAGCGGCAATCTAGGATGGAACCACGCTACCTGTAACTTATGGCTATGTAGTCAATTTGGGTCCATCGCTGGCCAAGTGGCACTTCGGCGCCCACTGTCTAAAAGCAGTGCTACTAAGAAACGACGGGTGTTCCGCACACAGCACTCAAACTAACCTGAGTTCGTTATAAACTAGCGTTGAATGTGTCCTGATCGCATACACGTGGCTCATGCACATTCACCTTTGTTATAATCGCGGTTGATGACCGTAGAGTAGTCAGAAAAGACTTCACCGCGCCGGACAACGTACTGACCAAATGTCAAAGCCCATGATAATGACAAGACACCCGACCCATCGCGACGAAACTGGACCTTAACGTGGTGCGATGGCTTGTGTGCCTCAATGATCCATTGAGCTATGCTGGATGGTGCTTTCGCACCTTCAGAGCCACTCATACAAGATTGGTCAATGATTAGAGTCCAGACAAACACAGCATCCTGGCCCTCCAGATTGGGGGTTGGAGTAGGGGTGGCTCCTTAGTCCATAAAACGGACTCTGTGGCCCATTGCCAAACCCCAAGGCTGACGGTCTGGTTCATGAACCAAAGGCTTTGGCTGAGAATGCTAATCGTTCTCCTGTCTAGGCCTGGGCAACTTGACAGTATCCAGCCACGCAGTACAACTAAATGACTTTTCCCTTTAAACAATTCCTTGATGCTCTGGCCGTCGCAAAGGATAATAAACGGCTCCCTATCTGTTGTATCGAGCAAGGTGAATAAGGGTTTGGACGCTAATGATCAGACCTTCCTGTCTTCCTAATCCCACTCCCGCGCTTTTTCATCCTTAGCGTCCCACTCTAACTTCATTTTGATCCCCCAGTTTTCAATACCCCAAATCTCGGATTTCCCCCACCTTGCTTCAACAGTAACTTATCTTCTAGTTTCGAGTTACATGCAACCGCAGGGCGTCGCTCCAGTAAAGCCGACAAGTCCATGTGCAACCAAGCGGAAAATGTCAGTTCTTCCGTTTCCCTTTGGAGTCCTCGATCCTCGCTGAGACCGGCATGCCTGAACGTGCGCAATTTGTTACAGATTATTCAACAGGCAGCACATGCCCGAACAATAGACTCTATCGATCGATATTTATCAGAAGCCCGCCTGCAAGATCCGAGCTCCGCTCTCACCCTGCGATCCTCACATGCGACACTGGCGGCACATGCTCATTGCACCTGTCTGAAGACAATGCAGCTTCAAATGCCGGTCACGCCGAGTGGGCATTGCTTTGAGTCCCTGGGCAGAAGTTGCCCTGACCGATTGGATTCCAGTCAACAAACGGACGTGCGCCGTTAGATCGGCTGGCTCGTTCCAGGCTTCGAAGTTGCGCAGAAACAAATGGTGCCTGTATGTCATAACGGCTTACGGGCCCACGTACTGTAGTACTGATGCGGTGAAAGATGAATTCTATCAACTTAACGATCTCCTCCGTTACAGAAAACGTAAGGATACCGTGGTGCTTGCTGGTGATCTGGACGCCCAAGTCGGGAAGTTGTCCTCCGATGAGCTTCATCTCGGCGGCCAACATGATGTAGGTTCCCGTAATGATAACGGTTAGCGGCTGCTGCACCTGTGTGAAGATGATCCTCTCTATCTCGTGAGCACTAATTTTCGACAGCACTTGCAGTGACTTTGCGCCTAGTAGCCTCACAGCAGCCATGGACGCAAAACGATCACATCGCGATCAGTTAGCGCTGGAAAGGATGCAATCAAAAGTGTAACTCAAATTTGGAACACGAGCGTGAACTCCGATCAGGCTCTCGTGTGTGTCCAACTTCAGGTGCGTTTAAGCGGACATCCGCAACGTCGCTATACGCGCAAAGACGCCAGGCAACTGGCGAAGCCAGATGTTCAGAATGTGTATCAAAGTATGCTGGTATCCGGGCTGAGTAAGCGCTCACTGAACATCATTGAGGATGGGGCTCCACACGTCAAAGGTTACTATAAGCAGGCATGTCTTCACGTGGCAAATCAAACTGCCAACCTGGACACTGGGTCTCTACACAATCTCTGGAACTTCTGGATGCTCGCCGGCGTATGCCGGGTGGAAGTGAACATAACGAGACTCGCAAAAACCTCAGGGCAAAAACTGCGTGGCAGCATAAAGCGAGACCGCCAACTCTGATGGTCTACTCGTGCATCGGAAATAGAAACAGCCGCTGCCGTTGTTAACTACCGCAAGTTAATCGGTTCAATCAGGGAAACAGGCAGCAGGAGGCCTGGTGTTAGCGAGACCATACGCGACGAGGGTGGACAGCCGATTCACAGCATGTCAAAACACAGCGTTAGGCCGAACACTGAGGCAATTCAATCAGTCAGAGTTGTCGGCTTCTTCACCGGCCATAGATCGCCCTATTTGATGGGTCATTCCCGTGAAACCGCCCTAACGCAAAGAAAATGAACG